AAGCCAATGATAGAACTCAAAAGCAGGAGTTTACTTGACATTATAAAAACCAGCATAAGCTAGACTGAGAAGAGTAGTGGGGACTGACCACAGAGAGGCAACCAGATGCAGGTCATATAGGACTTGTGGGATGTCACAAGGATATTCTGTTTACTTCATTTTCAGTGAGACAGGACTTCATCAAAGGGAATCTGAGTAGAGAAGTGACTGACTTGATTCAACTCTACAGTGATTACTCTGCTGCTCATTGAGAGTGAAGACTGTGGGGAGCAATAAGACTGCGTTGGTCCCCTAGAGCTGTCTTAAGAAATAATAGAAATTTATTCCCTCACAGTTCTAGAAGCCATAAGTCCAAAATCAAGGTGTCAGCAGGGCCACACTTCTCTCTAAAGGCTCTGGTAGAACTTCTTCCTCACCCCTTCCTAGCTTCTGGTGGCTGCCAATCATCTTGATGATTCTTGGCTTGCAGGTGCATCACTCCAAGATCTACCTCCATCATTATATGGTGTTTTACCTTTGTGTCTGTGTCTCTACATGGCCTAAGACATCAGTTATGGGATTGAGGGTCTTTTCTCTTCCAGTCTGCCCTCATCTTAATTAATTCCATATGAAAACCCAGCTTCTAACTAAGATCATATGATGAGGGTCCATTAATTTGAGGGGAGTGCACAACTCAAGTCAGTACAACTGCCATTAGGGCGCTATTGAATAGTCCCTAAGAGGGATGGTGATGGCTTAGACTAGCAAGGGAGGTAATGACCAGTGATTAGATTTAGAAAAATATAAAGGATAAGTGGATTGAATTCACTATTGGATTGGATATGGCTACAAGAAGATAAAGAATTAAGGGTGGCACTAACATTTTTGTCCTGTCTGAGCAAGTAACTGCAAAAATGCAATTTTGATTTGTGGTAGTAGCAGGGAAGCATGTTCTCAAGGAGAAACAAGTTCTAGTTAGTTTGAATAGATTTGGTTTGATAAGTCTTGTCCCTTGTTTCAAAGGGAACAAAGGAGCCACCAGAAAGAGTAGCCCTCATTTTCCTCCACCAAAGCTACACATGTATGTGCATGTGTCTTCTGTCCTTTTTTCTCTGTTCTCTCTGACTGAAATGTTACAATAAAGACACCTGCACACCCATGTTTATTGCAGCATCATTCACAATAGCCAAGCTGTGGAAACAGTTAAGATGCCCCACTACTGATAAATGGATTAAGGAAATGTGGTACTTATAGACAATGGAATTTTATTCAACCATAAAGAAGAACAAAATTTTGTCTTTTGCAGATTAGCCAACCTGTAGACTGAACCCCAAAATCTGCCCAATCTGCGGGGGCAGGGGGGAGCAGCATCATGTTATAGATGATACCCAAGCAGACTTCCCACTTGGAGTACTTGCTTCCCAGATTCTTTGTCAAGTGCACACCCCTCTGCAGGAGTAAATTTTGCCTTACCTATTGACTTCTGAGTTGTGCCTTCTCTCTTGTGACACCACAATATCTTAACGATATTTCTAACACCCTTTAGTCAACTCCTGCTTTTTAGGTTCTTAGTTCAGAGGCTTTCTACTACAGGAAACTGTCCCTGACCATTAGTATTGGCCCTTCCCATGTGTTCTTTTCTTAAATTATTTCAGTAGCACAGCATTTAAACCACTGTCCCTAAAGGTCTCCTCCATTCATTTCATTCCCTCAAGACCATGGAGTACTTAAAATCAGTGTGTCTCTGATCCTGTGAGCCCAGGAAGTCTTCCTTGTTCTCTCACACAAAGATTTTGGGGCTTGACATTACTGTGGACTTGCTCCACATTTCTTGTTCCCTACATTGATGCCACAACTCCAAATTCATTTCTTACCTCCTAACAAGGGACAGCCTCTCCAGTTCCTCCCATGGAGCCCATCTTTGTTACTATCCCAAACAGGAGCAGGCTGGAGGTCTCACTGTGTGTCTGAGCAACAATAATTTTAGCAGTGGACTAAGGGGGGTGATGCAGCCTTGTTTGCCTGAGCCAGAATCAATGGACATGGATAGTTGCAGCTGCAGCTAACGAAATCAACCACATTCTAAAGGGCATAAATAATGAGAGCTGTTTTGTTTTGTTTTTTTCTCCTGATCTCCTAATCAGTGCTTTGGTTCTTTCCTTTTACTAAATCCCAACATTTCCAAGAGTCTCATGGGAAGAGTGTCCCGCTGGGTATGGATAAACTCTGTGTATAGCCTGTTCTAGAAGCTTCTGGACAAGTCTCCTCGGTCCCAAAGTCCCTGTGTATCTGTGAGGAGGAGCCAACTGAACTACCTGTGAGATATTTCCTTCCCTGGTTTTCCCACCCCCAGTTCATGCACCTCCTGTAGTTCAGCTGCTGCCCTAAATATAGCCATAAATATGATGGGAACGTAAGGCCAAAATGTAAACGCCCAAGTCACCATTGTGCATGTACATGTAAGAAGCTCCTTCTCTGCATGTCTTAGAGCAAACCTTTTTATTTCTATTTGTAATATCAGAAAAAGTTGATTTCCCCTGGAAAACCACGTTGTGTATAGAAAAGTCCTTAAAAATATGAAAAGTTGCAAGAAACCTTAGGACTGCCGACTTATTTTGGAAAATGTGCTCCCACATGAAACCCCTCCATTGCTGAAACATGCCTTTTTTTCCCCAGTGTTCATCTCCCCTTTGTCTGATCTGCATATATCCACCCGAGTTCTGCCAGCTACTTAGTGACACGCCCCATATACCCCAGAGACACGTCACCACCCCTCTGTTCTCTCTTCCGCTAGCAGACTTGTACATTAACATGAATGAAGTGGAGTAGCAGGTACCCACCCAAGTCACCTTGCAGACCTGGCTCATCCCAAGCTGGTAACAGGGCCTGGAACTCAGATCTTCTGGGAATGTTTATATGGCAAAGTAATCATTCAAAAGCAAGCCTACACACAGGCTCAATTGTTATATTGGAAACATTTTGAAAATAATAATTTAAGAAATTTCGAACTTATTTACCAACTATAAATGTTTCTGACATTTAAAGCAGCTTGAATTTGAATTATGGCATTCACAATTGAAAAATTTTGTCATCATAGGTTATTTAACACGATTTCAATGCAGTGAATTCAAGTCTCTAAATGCACCCCCACCCTGATTGAGTTTCTATGCAGTCATTTCATGGATGGGGCATTTTGTTAACTGGCAATCCTGCAAGATTCCAATACCAATGTTGATTTGAGTTGTGAGTATATATACAAGAGTGTGTGTTAGGACGTGGGGGCTATAAAGATGGTGCCAGGAAATATAGGATGCAGATGAAAGGGACACCCAGAGATCAAGGTTGTTGGAAGGAGGGAGGCTTCCTTGTAGGTTGGCCCTTCCACCAGGCTCTCATCTCCCAATGCTTCCACCTCACGTATTCCACACAGATACTGGAGAGAGAGGGTTTCTTATCATTTGTCCCTTTTTGTTCTCAAGTGAGTTGACATGAATACAAAGAGATACACTAATTCAAAGTGTAGTATTCCTAGGTGCTGGGATACTGTGCCTGAAGTCTCTTAGTCCAATGTATTTAACATAATGCTCTGTGTTATAATGTCAATTGTAACTGAAATGACCCTTCATTAAATGATGTGCTATTCAGGGCTCACCTCAGCAATTCAGCCATCCAGGAGGCTCACTCAGGGCTGTGCACATATAACACCTGCTTAAAATAAGCCCAATAATCCAAAATTTGGATTATTCAGGATGCTCGATACTTCCTGAATCTGCCCCTAAATACTGGTTGAATTTCCTTCTTTCATGACCCCTTGATTCATTCTCCACAACTCTGAAAATTGTCACATCCTTGTCATTTGTGACACAGATTTTTAACTACAAACATTATTTCAAGTATTAGAAGGTCTTGCTATAAGGAATCACAATGCTTACCTGTAAATATGAACTATTCCATTATTGATTACTCAAGGTTTTTTAAAATAAAATAGAGCATTTTATTTCATATGACTTTTAAATCTGATTGTAATTACTTCAAACCACCAGCATGTTCAACTCGTGTTTCTAAAGAGAGCATGCCCACATCCTCATCATTTCTCTTACCGTTGTCCATGAAAATTGTGCCTGTTACCTCCACTGGGAGGATGAAAAGGTATAAGATCCCAAGGTACCACTCGCCAGCAACCTGCTTCTGGGAAACTAATAGATTCATTTTTCTTTTCCCCTTTTCATTTAAGAAACACTGACCTAGTTCATCTAGTGAAAGAGAAAAACTTTCACTGCTGGTGAACACATTTCATAGGACTTCATTAAACAAAGTAATAGGATTAGTGTTTAAAATGATTAAGTAGGTATATAAGCTTTTACAAAAAGAAAATCTAATTAAGATAGTGCTCATATAATTTAAAACACTAGTAATTTACCAAATTAATTGTGATAAGTCTATTAGAGAGCTATGCAAACGTGAGGCAGTCTTATTTTTTTTGACGCGCTAATATTATGACATGTACATTATTATAATAACATGCATATTATGCAGTGTTTTGGTGAAATCTGAGGATTTTAAGTGTTTAGCTTGCCCTGCCTAAACTACAGTAAAACTATCTTACACTATTCACTTTTCTCTTTTTGGAAGCTCCCTGCACTGTGTAGGAAGTTAACACAGCAAGTCATAAGACCCAGAACTTGCATTCCTAGTGACAGGCTAGGGACACAAGGAAAAGTCATGGGCTCAAGTCTGCCAACCAACATAAGGCAAGAAGGACCCACCACAGAGCACCATGGAGCACCTCCTTGTGCCCTCAACAGGCACTTTGGAATCTTCCTATAGCACTCTAACCACCCCATTCACACTGCCTGAAAAATTACGCTTGCAGCAAAAGGTTTGATAAAAATATATTTAAAATTAAATCTTTCATCATTCTTTTAACCACATAGTTAAATTATATGGATAATGATTTCAAGTACTAACTTATAAAAAGATGTGAAAAGTCAGAAAACAGAACAAGGGAACTTTTTTTTCAGAAAATGTATTTGCAATTCAAATGTTCATATAAAAAGCATATTTTTTAAAAAGTTCATAGATGTGTGTTTTTAGAAGTGCTATGGTTTCACCATTCATTGCAATTACATTCCAAAATGTGCAGGGTGGTTCACACTGCATCCTCATATATGTTTGTCACACTGAAGTCACTCTCATCACAACCTCCCCCGAGCTGTTGTCTTCTGACAAATCGTCGTGGGTCCGCATCCTATTGAACAGATGTAACAGCACATAGCCACACTGAAACCTGGGTGAGGTTAGCTGCATTGGGTGGAATGAGTTTCTGTTTCGCAGAGCCGTCAATGGTAACCATAAAGTCCTACTTGTGGAAGACTCTCCCCGGCTACTTTCTTCAATGTCTGTGGCTTTGTCATAATTTAATACATCCCAGTGCAAATTAACAGCTCGCCAACGCTTAAACACTCTGTAAACTGCAGCTCCTTCATGGACAATGAGACCTAAAATTCAAGAGAAAAATAAAAAGACTGGTGATGATCAAGAGTTGGAGTGTTATTTTGCATAGAAGGGATCCAGGAAATAGTCCCTTCTCTGTTATTCATCACTATCAAAGAATACAGGATTCTGAGCACTCAAATATTATGGCTACTGGAAAGGTACCCCATGTTATATGGGAAGAATCAATGTTCAAAGAGGGAGAGTTCACTAACACATAGAGAGCTGAACGCTCATAGATGTGATTCACTTGCTCCATCACGCCTCAGGATATACCTTCAGCATTTACAAAGTTTTATGTGCAATATCGTATTCAATTCTAACTGTAGCCTTATAAAATAAATACTAACATTTCCCTTATTTTACAAGCAAGGAAAGCGAACCACAAGGATGTCAGAAAAAAGTTTGGACAGGAGCGAGTGTACAAATAGAAGTGGTAGAGCTGGGAATCAAACCCAAGCAGGCCTCAGAGCCCATGTTCTCAACTGCTCTGCAGTTGCATCTGATGGCCACATGTTTTTGAGCAGAAAATAAAGGAAAATAAACAAAGGAATATGAGAATCTCAGGACCATAAAGTGTCAGACTGTCAGTCAGACATAGCACACTGGTGCCCAGGGCCATCCTCACTGCCCGCTCCTCACCCACCACACAACCTGTATTTTTCATGTGTTTGTATTGCAGCATGTAGTCCAAAAGTCTTTGGATCTGTGACTGTCACAGAAAAAGAAGTCCCAGAGGGAGAGGGCCCCTCAGATGAAGTGAGGATACACTTAATTTAAGTAGTGGAGAGGCCAGAGAAGAATCTTCTTGCAGGTGGTATATATATATACCTGTAAGTGCAACATGCCAGCTGGCTCAACCGTTTTTCTAATGATGGACCCGAGAATGAGCGGGTCCATCAGCATTTACTCCCGGACACATGCTCTAGACAAAGTTTCACGAACGTAAGGAACGAAGCATGTTGAAAGTGTTAAGTAATTATTTGTATTTCAAGAAAATCTAACCACCAATATCAATATTCATCCTTTGAAGAATGGATACATCACAGAATGTGATTCAGTGGATGACAGCAACGAATTAAAGGAAACAAAATCATATGCACTACCATAAACAGACTTGAATGAGTCCTTATCCCTGGATTTAAAGATCACAGCAGCCATGTCTTCTCATAACCACTACTACAGAAGGCATTTTCCAAAAAGACATTTGACAATTTGTTATTTCTCTCTAGGTCTCAATTTCCTTTATTGTACAATTGTTCCAAAATAGTGTCTCTTTGTAGAGTTGCTGTAAGTCATGAATGATTAGAGGTGAGATTGGGACTCAAAGTTATTTAAATGTAAATACTGAGTATGACATCCTATTCATGCTAGACTTCCAGTGTATGACAGTCCTTCTAGGTAGAATGACCTATTAAAAGATTACTATGGAATAAATGCCTCTCATATGCTGAACCTTTAATTCCCAGTATAATGGTATTTGGAGATGGAGTCCTTCCGAGGTACAAAGGGTTAAATAAGGACACAAGGGTGGGACCCTTGTGGACAAATGGCCTTATAAAAAGAAGAGATATGATGTCTTTCTCTCTCTCTCCCCTTCACTTCACCCTCCTTTCCCAACCTGGAGAAAAAAGGGTCAGGAGACATATTTAAAGGCAGCAGTGGAAGGGATGAGGGCTTTGTCTGGTAAGTTACACTTCTGCTTTCCCAGGAAATGCATTGCTTGATGAAATCATGGAAACTAGGGTAAAGCCCTGAACACTGCATAATCAAAATGGCCCTGAGAAAGAACCCACAGTGAGCAGCTAATATTTGGCCAGAAAACGTTTCCTGATCATGCAAGCACTCACGATTTCTAGCTTCAATTTCCTTCCAGAGTTATCTATCCCGCTCCTGATGTGTGTATGTGTGTGTGTGTGTGTGTGTGTGTGAAAACTTTGTAAGTGCAACTCCTTATCACTGTAAAGAGTCAGTGGGTACCAGAAATTGACTGATTTTGAGTCCTGTCTAACTTTGGGCAGCTCAGAATCCATCTCATTAATTGGTCCCATTTTTGATTCTTTAATTTCTGCTGGTATTTGGTGAAAGCCAGAGTGTGGTTGCTTGAAAGGATTAACCAAAAAAGAATATAATCCATGATATCTTTTGTTGTAATAATCTTTGCTAGAATCAAAAAAAAATGCATTAAGCATCTATTTCTCAAACTACCCACAATTTAAATACTTAACAGTTATGGAAACTTAGATTTGACTATAGAGGTAATTACTTGAAATGTCTCTTCCCCATTGTCAAATCAGATACAAAGGTGGGGGTTTTTTGTCTTTTTTTGTGTGTGTGTGGTACTTGGGGGATTGATTTCAAGGCTTCACAACTGCTAGGCAGGTGCTCTACCACTTATCACTTGATCTACTCTGGCAAGCTCCTTTTGTGTTTGCAACTTTCGCGATAGGATCTTGTTTTATTCTGGGGCAGGCCAGAACTGCAATCCTATTTGTGCTCCTCTGTGTGAATAGGCATGTGCCACCACACCTATCAATTGATTTGGGTTGGATCTCATGAACTTTTTGCGTGGGTTGGCCTGGAATCATGATCCTCCTGATCTCCACCTCCCAAGTAACTAGGATTACAGAATTGATCTACCATACCTTGCCTCCAAAGTTCTTTCTATATGTACCTAATTATTTTTGTTGGACTGAGCTATATAACAAAGGTTAAAATGCACAAAAATGCAGTATGATAAAACTTAGGCAGGCAGATGAATACTGAAAAATAATATACATGTCATCACTAGGTCACTAAGTTCACAAAACAAATCCAAGCCTCTAGAAGCTACAATGTCCTAATTATATCTGGGGTTTTTGTGAATACATATCCTAATGATGTCCAAATAGAAACAAATAATGTAAAGAAATAGTTCACATGAAATGCACTTAATCCATAAAGAATGTGCTGATTTTCTGTTGTTGAATATAAACTAGACAGACCTTTGATACTCTCAGAATTTTCTAGAACCACGTACAATTCATAGGACCAATCTGAGAATGGTGTACTTGTTGTAACAGCTCACAGCTAAAGTTCTCAAACACAGGATCATCATTACCACTGGCAATAACTCTTGTGTGAGAAACCTAGCAAGGACAATGAATTATCCTAAAAACTTCCCATGACACATAAATCTAAATATCAGAGGCTGGCTTGTTACTAAGTATCAGTGGTCAGAGCCACTCCACCCCCAAAGTAGAATGATCCTACAGTGTTAAGGACTGTAAATGATAACAGTTTCTTGGAGACAGTGCAGAAGAAACTCCCAGTTCATTCTATGGTGCTGCCTCTGTGTCATTAGATGTGAAGTCGATGGGAAGAACATGTTGTCATTTCCCCAATAGACACTGGTTTCAACTACCAGATGTCAATCTCTAGCTCCAGACCCTTTCGACACAGCTGGTTACTGGCCACATCTACATAGATTCCCCAGAAATTCTGCAAAGTAGAATACTCAAAATGAATCTCAAATGTTTCTCTACCTTCACTTTCTTCTGACACCCTCCACTTCAGTAACTAACATCAGCTTCTATGAGTCACAGCCGTTGAACCTCCCCTTCTCCCCTCTCCCTCAACCTTACCCTACTCCTACTGCATGGATCACTTACATCTTTGATCAGTTTCTTTTAATTATAGCAGCTTCCCGGCAGTCTTAATGCAAGCCTAATCACTTGCTTGGGTTGTTGTATTATTTTTCTTGCCTTCTCCAGCATGGATCTCTCTCCTCCAATCTTCATCATTATCAAAGATATTTCTTCAATATCAAGTGGTCCGTCAGACCCAGGAAATGATCCTTCATGGGTCCTGAGCTGTTAGCATGCACTCAGTCCCAAGCTCCACCTACAGGGTCTTTCTCTATGATCAGGACATATTCCTCCGGGCTACTTCCTCAATCAGCTGCTTCTGCTTGCCATACCAAATTTCCTTACAAATCATAATTGTTATCACACATACATTCATAGGTTGAGGCTGTTGCCTTTCTCTGGGCCCCTTCCTAATTCCTGCTCCTCAAAATTTAGCTCAAGATTTTCTTCCTCTCCATATACTTCACTGGCCCTAAGTATGATTAATCTTCCCCACTAGTTCTCACACACATTTTTATCCTGGCACTTTTCAAGTTGTGTTTTAATTTCTTCTTTCTCTTAATATCTCCTAGCAGCAGGTAGGAAAAGCAGGGAGCATGTTAAATTTCAAGGTTTGGCAAACTTGAAAGGACCAGATAGTAAATGTTTCAGTCTGTGCAAACCTTCTGGTCCATGTTGAGACTTCTCACAGTTATCACACATGAGAGAATATGGCTGTGTCCTGTTACTTATGGGTACTCATGTTTAAATGTGATGTAGTTTTCACAAGTGATAGAATAATATTTTACTTTTGATGGTTTTCAACCATCTAAAAATGTAAAAACCATGCTTTCATCCCAGGCTGTACAAAATCAGAATGAGACCCTTGCATTCTGTTTTTGTCTCCACCCTGCACTGCAGGATTAGCAGGATTAGCACACAGGAAATATAAAAGCACATTGGCTCAATAGCTAACCAAAGCCTCCTTGCCTAAACTGCCCCCCCCGTGGAGAGAAACAGCTGAATGTATCACAATTTCCTGGGGAGGAAAAGGAAGTCAGCAATGGCAACATACATGGTCTGCAGCTCTGCACATTATGTTAGTGCTTCTTCAAAAGAACTTGAACTTTACAAGGTCACATAAGGGGAAGGGTGCCTTGGGTTGGTTTTTGTTTTTGTTTTTTGTTTATCTCTTGAGAGACCTAAGGGGTTAATTAGCTTTGAGAGACCTTTCTAGTACAACCCAGAAGGGCAAGTAGCAAAAACAAGTCTCCTTCTATTTTATTTCCTGGGGTTTTAAAAAGCAGCAATATCACTAATAACCAAGCATGATAATACTCTTTACAGAAATTGGTAAACATCAGTATGATTAAGGCACAGAAAAGCCTGTAATTTGTGCC